AATGGGCAAGACACAGCCAGACATGAACCACAGGATTTTCACCCATAATTAACATCACATGCCGTCTCGGTCAACTCCTCAACACCTTCATCCAGTCAGACAAGAGGCACCTAACGAAAGAATCCCAGTCTCTCCCGGAGCCATTCCTCTGTCAGGTCGTCGGCACTTCTGACCTCGAACACCTGAGGGCGAAGGGTTTTTATGTCATATCTTTCACAATGAAACCGATACGGCACAGGCATTTCCAAAAATGAACGACACAAACCTTGGACATTTCCGCAGTCTGCACGAGCTTGTTCTTGCTGCCTGCATACATCATCTGGAGTTCAGGTTTGCAGCCTGAAAAACAAAGTCCACTCCAGCATTTCACTTCTTGCTGCACAAAAAAAACCTTGAAATTTTAAAATTTCTTACTTAGCTGTAACATGTTTTCCACCTGACATTTTTAACAGCATTATTGACATTGAAGAAAGGCTGAACTCCAATCGACCAAGTGTGGTATAGACGCTATTAGCAAATAGAGCCAGGATAACTAGTGGAAATGCAACACCTCTTTAAACACTGACGGTTATGGCCCATTCAGCTCTACTGCAATCATGCAGGCAGACCTGGCTGACTGAAACTCAATCTCAGTGGGCAACACTAATCATGTTAATGCAATGCCACGCAGGACTATAGTCAATGTATATGCCAAAGGCATGGTCAGGATTCAGTCTGAGGTAGTATAATTCAAGAACTGACAGTTAAAATGAACAAAAGCCCATTCTTCTTTAATGTGCCTGTGAACCCCTTAACCTGCCATTCGGTGCAACCTAAACAACACAATCTTATACCGGAATTCAACATACAGAGCTTAACAAATTTATTAGACCACCATCCAAGGTAAGGTTTATGCCACAGCTGCCCTAAATTAACAGTATTGGTAATTACCAAAACCATTTTTTATGTTTCTGTAATGGTTAATCCACCAGCATGCGGAAGCTCTTTAATTGAAATGATATTTTTAATGCTAAAATATAATTATTGTTGTTATCCATGAATTTTCAAATTTACTGTTCTACAAAAAAGCAGGAAAAAAAATGGTTAGGAACATTATTATTTTTTGATAAGGATGCCAAATAACAGTTATTCACTTGCATTCCTGAACCTAAAAATTAGTTTTTGTGGTTGAACGCAAGAATGCAAGCTGTTATCAAGGCCAAAGGAGGCCATACAAAATATTACGTTTTTTTTGGTTTTTATGTGTGAATAAGGACAATTTAGTTGTTTCAGTTTGTTATTTGCCAAAGAAATAACGATATAATTTTTAGTTTTAAACAAGTTTTTGACAAATTTCTGAAAAATTTGTGTTTTCTTGTTTCTATGACAAGTGGTCTAATAAATTTGTTAAGCACTGTATAATCAAATTCTTGCACTTTATAACTCATAATGATTAAAAAAGCATTCACCGAGTGGGCTGATGAAGATTAAGCAGAGTGGGTAGGAAACGCGGCCATCATCATGCAGGTACTTATAACTATAGACCACAAATGTGTTCACGGTTAAGGATAATTTGGTCCATATTACATTCAAACAATCCGCAATAAATAAACGTTCTGCACAATACAAATAATGAGAGGCTCAAACAATCCAGTTCAGTGGTTCTGAATAAATCAGTGCTAGCCCAATATGTACATAGCAAAATTGGTAAAAGGATATCTTGGTTGAGATTCGGGTAATTCGCCTCTCAGATCATCAGGAGATATATCCTAAGAGGGGGAAAAAAAAATAATCATCATGAGTTGTACTAAATATTAGTCTAACAGTTCTGACGAATCTCCCACCATAACTTTAGATTTCAAAGTGCAGTGGCAATTCACAAGCCTATTTATATCTACGTGGTGATAAAATATCAGGATAACTCATTCTCCACAATCGAGGCAAATGAATCCAAATAGTAATTTAGTAATTAACCCATCATGTCCCTTTTTGACAGCCTACTATGTACTGGGGCAGTCCCAGACTAAAACCATTCTTGGTCGACCAACAGTCAGCCTTTTTTTCCCCCCCGATTGGTCGAAATTTTTAAACACTGTTCAGAGCTGCTTCTTTACGCTGCCCTTGCAGATTCTGCCTTTGCACTTGTGAAGTTGAGGTATGACCACACAATAGGCTGATGCTTCTATTTGACCAAACCATAACACATTCTAATGCACATTTATATTTAAGCAATATATCACGACAGGCCGTGGTATACGCTCATTATACCACAGCAAAGGGGCTTTCTTCGGCCCGACGCGAAGCGGAGGGACGAAAACCCCCTTAGCGTGGTATAATGAGTGTATACCACGGACTGGAGTGATGTATTGCTTTTATAAAACGGCTACCAATAATGGCAATATGAAAGAGGAATACACAATAAATTTCACGTAGTTTTTATTTAAACAGAAATACATATCATCTTATAAAATAGCCCCGCTGTGAAAAAAAATAGTCCCACCTCAACGTTTTGCTACCTACTGTAACAGTTTGTTGTCATGGATATATTGTTGCTTCTCTGACAATAATGACAACATTGAAGGGGAATACACAATCAATTTAATGCAGTTTTTATTCAATGTGAGATACATAGCCTATTATCTCATAAAATAGTCCCACTTCTACTCCATTTAACCTGTTTGAATAAATAAAAAATAAATGAAAAATAACGTTATACTTTGATACATTCATTTCTGCAGCTTTTACTCCATAAAATTAGACTAACATTTTATTTACATTCATTTCTGCAGCTTTTACTCCATAACATTTGACCTAGATTGCATTTACATTCATTTCTGCAGTTTTTACTCCATAACATTAGACTTAGATTTTATTTACATTAATTTCAATATTTCCATGGATTGTGCATCCACTAAAAAACTGTAGCATCAGGTATACCACTTCTACTTTCAGGTGGAGCGGGTGTGTAGTGTGTGTGTGTGTGTGGCGAGGATGTTGCTCCACTTTCTGCGGTTTTCTTGATTTGGTCTCCAGTAGCTCTGTAGAGACGTTTCACATTTGTGACCGCTCACACTCATGATCTGTCTGGTGTCGTGGCCTGCATCAGACAGCTTTTGTATGGTGGTGCTGTGGAGGCCATGGTTGGTGTATTTCTGCTGTGTGCCAGCTTGCTTGCAGAGTCGGGGCAACATTGTGGCGAGGTGATTGACGCCCATCGGCTCTCGTGTAAACCTGAATGTTACCACACAGATTTTAGTTGTCACATAAATTTAACTTTCATCTAAATATGCACAATACATAATACACTTACCAAACTTTGTCAAAATCGCAGTTGACGTTTCTTCTTGGATGTAGATAAAATGATGGTGCGTCAGGAGGCAGGATGGAGAGGTACTTTGCCAACGAGGAAACAGGGCTGAGAGGATCACCAGGCAGCTCATACATGAATCCCCTTGTACTCTCTCTGTTCCTCTTGTGGGTCGTTGTGGTTTTTGGTATGTTCGTTGAACGTCAGCGTTGCATATTTCAAACCGTTTTTGTCTGTTTTGATTATAAATGACGATGGTTTGAGCTGTCGATTTCCTTCGTTTCCTCTGCGCCAAAAGTGCAGCTGTATGTCAAACCACACTTTATTAACCAAGCCCACCAGATTGTTTGGATTTAGAACTCGCTTTATGGCATTGAAGTCAGCATCTGTAATTGATGTGTGATGGACTGTAGTGTCAAGTCCTTTCTTCCTCAACATTTTCACAACGCCGGTGAACACATTATTAGACGTAGTGAACTCTGTGTCTTTGAGGAGGCACCAGGAGAGGCTGCGTGGGGGGTCGTTGATGTATCTGTTGAGTCCAGCGCAGAGATCGATGTAGCTGCTCAGTCCATATAGTTCACCATTACAGTTTCTGACAGTGCTGTAAAATTCTCTTAAAATGTTATTGAATTGTTGTTTAGACACTGTCTGAAAGTCCACCGCCACACCTTTATCTTGACACCAGTCTTCGAAGCACTTCACTGCCCACTTGGTCTGTTTAACCGTATTGGCCTCGCTTCTCTCCTTCTCCAGTTGGTCAACCTCTCCAGACGTCATCTCCGCATGTCGTCTTTTGCTCGGCTTTTTTTTCGGAGACCGCCACTCTTCAATCCATTCATCCATCGTCAGCCCTCCCCGGAGATCAAAGTTAACCGTGAACATGTTTAAATGTTAATTGTTAAAGCAGTCAAAAAAAATAAACGTCAAAACCGGCTACTTTTTGCTGCGTACTGTAACAGTTGGTTGTTGTCATGGAAACATTGTTGCTTCCCTGACGCAAAGTGATATGCTGTGATAAGGCTTTTCAGAATAGTAGCTGTGGGATGTGCTCATTATATCACAGTTAACAGCCAATCAGATTGCCGGATTTCATCTTTCAGTTTTATAAATAACATATAATAACACATTCTAAAAACTCTGAGACCAAGGCCACTTGCCATTTTTAAGTGCCGTCACACAATAAACAATGAAATTGCGCTAAACATGCTATCCTTGTGCCTGCTTATTTTTCCATGAAAGGAGGTTTTATATGATTTAATTTATTAGCAGCTAATAAATTAAAACATATAAGTTTTATTTGGTTATTTTGCCCTAAATTTCTCTTATGCATTAGGCAAGTCAGACTGGCTATGGTGACGAGAGAGAGTGTGCGTCTGTTTCGAGCCAGGTGGCCCATCAGATCCAGTGCTTAACCCCTGTTTCTGTAGGAGTTTTGCTACCCCCCCCGGATGGGATGCTCGTCCATCGCAGGTTACTCCCCCAGCTCTTAGTCAGGTTTCCCTGACAACAGACGTACTCTCTCTCTCGTCACCATAGCCAGTCTGACTTGCCTAATCCATAAGAGAAATTTAAGGCAAACTAACCAAATAAAACTTATTTGTTTAATTTATTAGCTGTACACAATTACATCATATGAAACCTCCTTTCACGGAAAAATAAGTACCCAATTATACACCTTGGTGGGAGTGAAGTGTTTTGCCCAAGAACAAACCGCGAAGGCTGTGGCCAGGACTTGAACTCACAATCTTTTGATCCCCAGTCAAGCACACTAAACCACTGACCTACCCTCGACAGTGACAAGAGCATCACTTCTCTCTCTTTTTGTTCTCTCTAAGACAGCGGCAGGCTTCAGCTCAAAGTTTGCGTTAAACCTGAAGTTATAGCGGGACGGCTCGTGATGTAACGGGAATGCATTTTTAAATAGTGTCATATTAAGTAACCTACAAATAGCTTAACTAAGTATGCATTACTAACAGCTGTAACAACTCAATCTTAAATGTTCACCAAAAGACCCATAAATCATATTTGCTCACAAAAAAGGACTAGGCCAATTTACAGTTTTCAAGTGGTAGGTCAGGAACTACAGTTTGCGAAACATCACTTGCCAAGTCCACATTCCAGTTTTTTCGGTAGTCTGCAAATAAAATGAAATTCTGCCAAGCTTGCGACCTTTTCTTTTACATTCTGTTCCAAGATTATATCCAAATGAGCAATTAAATTATGCCTATATCACTAAACTTAACTGTAGGGCAGATCTTGGACTATAATTAAAATGCACATTCGCACGCCTGTATGAAGGCAACAATGTAGGCATGAAAGGGGGTTTTACACGTTAGTTTTACATTTATAAATACATTTGCTATAAAATGTTGCCTTTATTATTTTTGCAGAATTACTCACAAAATTAATACCAACATAACTGTATAATTTAAAAGAGTTAAGAGTGAAGGACTCGCTGCCAAGCCCGCAGCATCCAAATGGGCGATTCTATAGATATGGATTATTTGCGATTGCTTGACCAAAACAAATCTGGGCTGTCAACCAACAGCCCATCAACCAAACAATCCACCAGTAAACTAAATGGGGCCAGCCCTACTGAATACAACTCGCTCCAGAATTATTGGCGTCTCTAACAAAATGGCAGCATGGAAGAAATACTGTACTTTATTAAATGTTTCAATCGAGCCAACCAGAATCATTCATTCACTGGATTAAACATCAGTTAGCTCCAAATCAAGGTTCTGCAATTTCATGGCACTCCTAGATTATTATCCCCCGCCACGAAGTGCGATGAGGATATTGGATTGGGGTCGGTCCGCCTGTTCGTCCGTCCAGGCCACAATCGGGACAAGATATTTCTGAAACTCTTATACCTAGATGCATGATATTTTGCATGCTTAATAAGCTACTCATGATCTACGCCAAGTTCGAAAATGGATGTCAAAGCATTTTTTTTTTTTTTTTTTTACTGAGTTATGGCCCTTTATCGTGGCGGGGGATAGTGATGACACTGTCATCTTGTGGTAAATAAAACATAACAAATTTAAGGAATTATATTGTATGATTACATCACTTGTTTCAAGATGACATGGCAACTCACTCTTATCCAGACAGAGCCAGTGTGAGTGCAGGCCTTCATTCCAACCATGCACATACACACCTGATTTTACTAATCAATATCTTCAAGAAAAACAATAAAGCGTTGATCAGTAGACTCAGGTTTGCAACTGCATGGTTGGAACAAAAGCCTGCATCCACCCTGGTTCATTTTGGAAAACAGTGAGTACACCTGCACTAAGGTATAAAAATGAGGCAATGCAAATTTAAAATCCCATTGTCATCCAGTCCCATGTGGAAAACAAAAGAACTGGCAATTCAAGAGGGACAGATGTTCATAGACCTTTATAAATCTGGTAAAGGATACAAGATCTTCAAAAGATTAAATATATCACAGAGCACCGTTAGGGCAATTTATCAAATTTTAAAAATATGGAACAGCTGAAAACCGGAGAGGTAGACCCAAACACATTTTGCCCCCTAATACAAGAGAAAGGATGGTGAGAAAAGCAAAAAAAAAATACACAAAAATTACGGTGAAAGAAATTCAGGCCCTCTTGGCACATTGAGGGCCACTGGGTTAAAAAAAGCACCAGACACTACCTCCACATAGACCCTTTGGAACAATTGCAAGAAATAATTTTCTGATCCACAGAATCAGAAGCATCCCTTCGCATTTACCAAAAGTAATTTAAATTATGACCAGAAGTCATTCTGAGTAATGCAAAAATTGAACCATTCTGTTAGTTGCAACATAGGCATGGAAATGGCGTATACAAGGCACCACATACCCACAGTGAAATATGGTGGATGGGAATCAGGGATTGGGGCTGTTTTAACCCCAGAGGTCCATGGGCACTAGTTAAGATCAATGGCTTCATGGATTCTGCCAAGTATCAGGTAATTTTGGCACCTTGGCCAGAAGGCTGAGACTTGGTCTCAGGTAAACTTTCCAGCAAGACTGACTGAAAGCACACAGACCATAAAATCCACATAGAAATGGTTTGAGGACAACAAAATCAAAGTCCTGCAATGACCATCTAAGTCAGCAGATCTCAGCATGATTGAAAACCAGTCTGTGGAACTGAATGGGGCAGTTGGTGAGCTCAAATCCAATGATGTGACTAATCTTGAAAGGCTCGGCATCAAGGAATGGTCCAAAGTCCCTCCAAATGTGAGCCTTAACCCAGTCAAATAGTACAGGAAAAGATCCATGCTGCTATCAAGCACCGAAACAGGGGTGCCTGTTATTATGAAACCTTAATTTTAGAAAATATGCCCACCAAATAAATTAATGATTTTGCTTGGCTTGATTGGAACATGGATAAAATATTTTTCACATCTAAAGCTGGGTTTACACATAGGCACGATGCGTTACGAATATCATTTTCCCGTCATTCGTGGCACATTCGTGACATTCGTAACGTGACTTAACGCATCTGAATAGGGTTCTTAACAGCGCGTGTCAGTTCGTGACATTCGTGATATTAGTGGAGCATGTTTCTGGCTGCCAAAAGATCTTCCACGAATCGAGTTCGCAACTGAGCGTGTCGATTTGTGGTGATTAGTGGTGATTCGTAATAGAGCGTGACAGCATTCGTAGTGTATTCTTGCCATTCTTGGAGCCCATACTGTCACGCGTCGTTACGAATCGACACAAAAGCTGTCAAGAACTGAACTGAATGACGCATGACGCCTCTGCCCCAAATCATCAAATTCAATTCAAATTCGTGATCCTCGGTCACGAATTTAGATTCGTGGCATTCGTGACTTGTCGTCATTATGTGTAAACCCAGCATTAGCATTTTGAGTTTTTCCATCTGTAATGTTATTATTTATCTTAAATAGTATTTTCAGCGCAAATGGGATGCCATTAAGTTTGAAGGCCACTGTAGCCAATGAAAAGCAATCACAGTCAGAACACTTGAAACAAAAAATCCTATGAACAAATAAAAAATAAATCACTTTGACTACTTGCCTCCAGTTCCTCATCAAGGACCACAAGCTGACGCTTTGCATCGATTTTCACTGAATGGAAATGAGAAATAAAATAGTCTTAAAATTTCACCACATGGATGACAACCAACCAACCAGCAGAATAAGCCCATCATACTCTCACACTCTACCCAAGCAGTGTTGCGATTGCATTTACCATCACTGTATACATAAAAGATTTCGGCCCCTTTGTTGAGAACCACCACCAGGGTGCTTCCCTCTGCCATCCCGACAAAACATACCATACACAACTTAAAAAAAAATACTTTCCAAAAAATTCAGAGTATTAACGTACAACCCTGACAGGGCTTTCCATTAGCACAATGGCATACTAGTGATTACGTAATACTATGATTACAACAAAACAACAATAATAGTGAAAAAACAAATGTAATAATAATAATAATAATAATAATAATAACAACTTAAGTCTGATTAAAAGTTGAGTAATATTGTCTGCTTACTGATAATGGCAGCATTGTTGGTTTCTTTCCGAAATCGGAATTCTTTTAACCTTTTAACCAAATCTTCATCGACATCACATACTACTAATGATTCGCTCTGCAAAGAAAAGAAAAAAATGTGCAGTTACAACAGCTACTAAGGCCAAGTTATTCTCAGCCGGCCCGTAACATTGATCATCTTAACACCTAAAATGCACACAGTGCAAAGACTAAATGGAAGCAGAAATTACCTGCTCGGGCTAGTAATTAAGCGCATAAAAACATATGTGACCCTGGGCACACTAGTATTATTCGTATGCATCAAGTCAATGACTTGTGTCGTTCACTAAAATACCCTTAACCTTCGATTGCTACGAAATATGGGACAAGCAAAATCCAATAGCCATGGCATACACCAACATTAGAGGTGTGCAACTAGTGATTACGTTTAAAGAAAATTAGGATTCCTGCTGCTGAAAGCTGAAGAAACGAAGACAATTCCGCACATCTGAGAGATTTATTTTCCATTTATCCTCATAAACCTGACAAACTACATCCAATTTGAACAAATTCCTGTTAAATAGAAGCACTTATTGGCCTGCATGTTATGTTAACCTACAATTTTTAAGGCAAGATATAACGACAATACTTAGCCACTGTAGGGACGGCACATCTAAGAACGAACCATTGCGGCTGGTGCGAGGTGAATGCATTTTTAAGGCCGCCAGCAGGCAACAGGAAATGTGAATTCCTTACCTAGCTTGCTAACTTTTCAATGCTACCAATTACGTTGTGGTTAGCCACAAAAGCCTACATGGATGTCTAGCACAGGAAACAGTAAACTACAAGTTGGCTAGCTTGATAAATGAGCTGCAGCGTATCACACCACTTGACTTAGATTGCATGATCGTTGGATTGTTTCATAGTAAACAACTGCAAAGGGAAATTCTCAAACCTAGAATTATTCCACGGGACATTTCGCTAACGAGCTGTAGCTAGGCAGAACGCTAACGTACAAAGTATTGACATGTTGCAGCACATCACAATGGAATGGGTGGAACTGAATTTTTGCCTGACGCGCTGCATTGAGAAAAGCAACATTCGATGGAATAATCTGCCCCTAAAATATACAGATTTGTAAGTGTGTCAAAAGAATTCATCAGAATGATTCCTTTTGAAAATATCATCAAACAAATGTCACTTTAGCGGTATTTTTCCACCCCACCTCAATACAAACTCACCATTTTCTCCGACTCGCAGACTCAGATTGTCTGGGCAGCTGTACAGTTTGTTTTC